ATAGACTGAGGGTGTTTGAGAACAGAGTGTTGAGGAGAATATTTGGACCAAAGAGAGATGAAGTCACAGGAAGTTGGAGAAAACTGCACAATGAGGAGCTTCATAACTTGTACTCTTTTCCAAGTATAATTAGAATGATCAAGTCAAGGAGGATGAGGTGGGCAGGTCATGTAGCACAAATGGGGGAGACGAGGAATGCGTATAGGATGTTGGTGGGAAAGCTAAAAGGAAAGAGACCATAGGGAAAACCAAGGCGTAGGTGGGTGGACAATATTAGAATGGATCTTAGAGAGATAGGTTGGGATGGTATGTATTGGATAGATCTGGCTCAGGAGGGCTCTTGTGAACACGATGATGAACCTTCGGGTTCCATAAAATGCTAGGAAATTCTTGAGTAGCTGCAGAACTGGCGGCTCCTCCAGAAGGGCTCAGCTCCATGAATAAGTAAGTAATTAAGTATTGTTTTCATTAGAACATCACACTTGTTGACCACTTAGAATACTTTACAATTATATTCAACTTGAGTATCGCACTAAAACTCACAGTAATTCACCATTCTTGTCCTACAAATTTCATGATTGGCTTAGAGATTATCAGCTTCTAAGTATCTGCTCTGTAGATTAGTGTTTGTGTTCGTGTGTAAATTGTAGCATGATGTCTGTTAAAAATTACAGTCACTTCATTTCATAAATGAATTATCACAGCTTTATCTTCGTCTCTTCTTTTCCTACATTCCTTTCTCACCACTTTTATCGCATATGTGAGTCGTATCATCACTTCTCAAGTCCTTCCGTTCTGCCCTCGCTTTCCCGTATTTTTATAAATGCTTTAGGTAAATGTGGCGCCAAAACACTCTTCTACGAACAATGACCAAAAGCAGTCGTGCTGTCTACTACGTCACTTCATTGTTTTGCCAATGTCGAAAGCAAATGCACTTGTACGTGTATATTCCTATACTAGACCTTACAATTGTATAAGTAAAACTAAACACAAATGTTATCAAATTATATCAAGAGACCGTTTGACGATCAAGCCATCTGTCAGGCACCGACAGTAACTAAGACGTTTGTGAGCTTATGAATGTAGGCGTACATAGCTTTCATAAACACTGAATAAAGTTATATTGCTATCTGTAGGTGTTTCATTTGCCGTTCACAGTGGCCAAGCGGTCTAAGGCATGAACTGTCTTCGACCGCTCGAACACTGAGATCGTGGGTTCGAATCCCACTCAACGAATGAATGTCTGTGTTTTTATTCTGTGTTTGTGATGTCCTGCGTGCAGGTAGTGGTCTTAGGACGGGCTTATCCCCCGTCCAAGGAGTTTTACCTACGGTGTAAAAAGATCAAGAGACTGAAAAAAGCGGCCAAGGCCCAAGAAAGGGCTGTAGAGCCATAGATAGAGAGATAGATAGACAGATCGGTATTTCATTTATTCTGAAATCGCTCTACGTCTCCACGTATTTCGCTAATTGTTTTAATTAAAAATGTTTTCGTTTATTTTCTAACACTGAATTTCAAGTTAATTAGCACACCTCAATTACTGCGCTCACCACCTCAATAACCGCACTCACCACCTCAATAACTGCGCTCACCACCTCAATAACCGCGCTCACCACCTCAATATCTGCGCTCACCACCTCACTTCCATCACGAATACAATATAAACCTTTGTTTCTCATGTAGACTGTTTGTGGCCCTGTCGACTGTCCTGATGGTTACGACGGCTGCCCCAGTAAGCAACGATCACGGCAATGAGTATGACTACGAGGAAGATGCTGAACCAGCACCGGTTCCTGCTGCGCCCACAACGGGTAGGGGAAGATTATCGCTTCTCAGCACACGTGGACAGAGGGGTCCTTCGCCTCTCGTTGGTAACCGCGGAGCTGGAGTAAAGCAGCAAACAGCCGCTAAGCCAGTTGAACCCCCTCCAGAACCGGTACGTGTTCTGTAATTTGAACGCCCCACAGAAACTGATTTTTATTCTTAAAACTGGATCGATATTTTGTTTCACGCCAAAGAAAGTATCAGGTCTGTGTTGCAATGTTTGGTTTTTAAAAATATGAAAAGGAATTAGTGCTATTAATTTCTACGTTTCTGCAGGATGTGGGAAGATATAAGGGTAATTATTTTTACTCCGGGCACATATGGGGATATAACGAATGGCTGCGTTCCAGGAATCCTATAGGGAAAGAAAGTATATCTATGTAATTCTGAACCAGAAATCCATTATCCAAACCAAGTGTAGACTGCGAAAACTGCTCCGAAATTCGGTCTGCTGCAGCAAAAGCTGTAACCTTCCAAACCACGTGTGTAGGTGAGCCAGCTAATCTTCTTGCTTTCTTCTATTCAGTTAATTTGTGACACTATTTCAATTGCTGGGGATATTAACCGCATAAAGTGCTACGGTTGTGTAATCATTAAGAGTGATGAACCGGAAAGGAAGAAAAAGAAATAGATCACGAGATGTTTTAAGTCAGTTACTTACTTAGTCGGCTGTCCACGACTGCTTATTCAATATATTCGCAGCTTCCCTCCAAAGCTGGAGGCCGTTTCCTCCATCCGCAACCTGAGGACGCGCCATGCCGTGGTGACAAGGGACCCACTATACATGGATTTTAAGTCACTATCTCGGCATTTTATTATAGAAACAAATTACAGTAACGAAATATTCAAAATTAAAACCCTTCAAAATGCAAACCTGACGACCGACAGCTGAGCTGATCTCATCAATACATGGCTGAAGTAGGGATATACTCGTATTTTCCTTGTTATCTGAAGAAGCCTGCCGATCTTATGATCATTCCGGCTTCATCGCTGTACAAAACATTTTCAATGAAAGCGTATAACATAAGTCGCAAGGCCCTCATCCCATTCATATAGCTGGACTGGACAAAATAAATAAAACACTACAGATACTGTGAACATTTCTTTAGTAATATGGTGTTGGGCCACATTTTCCTCTCAAGACAGCCGCAATTCTTCTTGCAATGAACCCGTAGTAGTTCTGAACCGTCTCTAGCGGAATTTCATACCACTCTCCTTGAACATCTTCTAGTTGCTTTAGAGATGTTGGAGATGGGAACCTGCTCCTCACTGTAGTCTCAAACCTGACCAGAGTGGTTCAGTGATGTTCAAATTTGGCAATTGTGCTGGCCAGGGAAGATGTTGAAATTCACCTTCATGCTCTTCGAACCATGACCGAACAGTTCCAGCTGTATTAATGGGGGCACCGCCGTGTTAGAAAACTTCATCCTTATTAGGAAATGACGTCTGGATCTTGGAATGCACCTGATCACACAATCTGGCCACGTACTCGCTTGCAGTAATTCGGCCATGAAAGGTAATAATGAGACTAACAGAATATTGTACCACCATATTGTTGCCCAAACCATCACAGAACCTGCTCCATGTTTCACTGTAGGAACCAAGGATTCCGGACTGTAGGCTTCTCTGGGTGTTCTCCAAAAGTAAACTCCTCCTGATATAGAGAACAGCGTGAAGGACGACTCATCTGACCATATCAGGCTCGCGTTTCCAGTTGTCTGATGTCCAGGTTGTATGATCGTGACGCCATCTGACATTACTCTGGATAATCAGAGGTTTAGCAACTGAAGCCCTATCGTAGATGTTGGATATCTGAAGCTCATGTAGAACATGTTTTGTGGAAACAGGGTCTTCAAGATGAATATTTAGTTATGCTGCCCTGTGCTGCTGTAGTTCTGTGATTTTTCGAAACAACCCTTCTCAAGGTACGACGATCTCTTTATCGGAATGTTGATTTTCACCCACTGGCCTCTTTGCTGATGTTGTCTTCCCATGATTCGTGTATGCCGACACAACTTTAGAAACGGTCGCTCTCAGTGCACCTAATAATAAGACAGGTTTTGTCACAGATGCTCTAGCTAAACGCAAACCAACGATTTGTCCGCTTTCAAAAGTGGACGCGTCTCCCATTTTCCGGTTCTTTCATACGGACTGTCACTCAACACAATCCCTAGTGCACTTACAAGAGCATTACAGAGTGCAACCAAACGGAAGAACATGCAGTGTTGCCAACTGAGGTTCTTTCAGTGTAGCCAACACAAATCCTGTTTCTCAATTTCTTGGTGTTTCTTTTGTTTTGTTCACCCCCTGTATGTACGAGCTTATATGCCAGTATTGTCAAGGCTGAACTGTAGTGTCTGCATATTTCCAGCGCTTGTGTACTACTGGGACGGCGTAGTTCACGTAGTTCTTGTTCTTCATGTAGGTCTATTTCTTGCTGACCTGCCTCGCCCCGTTATACATATATTCTGCTTATCTGCTTACTGATAAGTTTGTTTCGCTATTTATGGTGTATTTAAAGACACTGTCAGCAGCATAGACTACACGGAGTCGAATGGTAGGAAAATTCGTTAATAATGAAGTGTAAAGATTGTGAAAGGAAGTTTTCATGGCAAAATTTGATGTACTATTCTGGCACTTGCCTGTAGAGACCGAGGAAACCCATTAAAACCCGCAGTCGCGTACGTGTAAGACTAATGGGGCGAACAGAAGCCAGAGGCCTTAGTGGCTAAGGCAGATAGCTCGGTGACCTCGTCATATTTTCAGTGTAATACCGAGGTAAGATTCGGGCCAGAAAGCCTCAGATACAGTGGCCTCATTATCTCTTCTGCCCTAGGTTTACCTCGAAACGAGGGTTTCGTTATTGCCCATCATAACGGAAGAAATTTATGTAAGAAGTAAGAATATACAGAAGAACAGATGTGTCGTAACACTGAAATTGTACTCTTCTCCAAACAAAATTAGAATGATAAAGCCAAGGAGGATGAGATGGGCTGGGCGTGTAACACTAATGTGGAGAAGTGGAAGGCATATAGGATATTGGTTGGAAGGCCAGAAGGAAAGAGACCAATAGAAAGACCAAGACGTAGTTGAGTGGATAATAATAAAATAGATCTTAGAGAGACTGAATGGGGTGGTATGGATTGGATTGATCTGGCTCAGAACGGAGTCCAGTGGAGGCCTCTTGTGGACACGGCAATGAAATTTTCCAGAAAAGCTCGGCTAAATCGAGTGAGTTAGGCCCGTAACGTGGCCATGCGCCCATGACCCGAGCACTGTTCTAACCCGCGATTCCATTGCGTAAATGATCTAGGATCCAGACGCCTGCGACACACGCGGAAAGAAATTCCTTTCATAAATTTGTTCGCCATTAATTTATAAATGACCTTGCTTTGAAGCACATTATTTTGTATTTTATTTGATGTTCAACACATGTTTCAGTGTGGAGGTGTTTATTGTGGCTTTGAATGGATTTACTGCGCATGTATGCATACTCATTCTAAAGAATGCCTGAATACTTAGTGCGTGACTCTCAGCACTTTGAATGTCAACAACGTCTGGCACCATCCGATATTTGCATGTGACAATATCCACCGACGGTTTACATATATTGCCAATTCTTGTTTTATATAAACTTTTTCCAACTCCAGATTACTCGTGTTTCGTTTTGGTTAAAGAAGTGTGAAAGCCATTGTGATTAAGTACACATAACAACATCATATAGCCGCCATATATTTACCGAAAGTAAAACCCTCTAAAACGTGACAAAAGACATTTATTATTGAAGCCTGTCACAGCGGTGGGTAAGAAGAGACTGGTCTTCTGGGTTGTAAAGTTGTACAGCGGGAAACCTTTCGTCTCGGAGAGATGCTGGAATAGAAACCAGTACAAGCAGGTGGCAAGCTTCACACCTGCTTCTGCTAGTGTTACTTGGCTTTATATATGGAGGCGATTTGTTCCAACGAAATACACGGCCTTACAACATGGACGACCGTGCTCTTAGAAACATATTTAGATGGGAAACTGCTAATATCACTTATTCGCAATGCAACTTATTATCATCATTCTCTGATGCAAACCGAGAGTCCTGTAGAAATGAATATTCTGCGGACATTTTTACTACGTTGATACCTGATAACATGATTTGTAATTTTAGGGCATATAAGCTTCGAAATGTGGTGCTGGAGAAGGATGGAGAAGATCAGTTGGACCGATTAAGTGAGAAATGAAGAAGTGTTGTTTAGAGTCAGTGAGCAGAGGAATAAGAAAACGGAAGGCTAATTGGATTGGTCATATCTTACGCGGTAACTGCCTTCTAAAAGAAGTTATTGAAGGAAAGATAGAGGGGCGAATAGAAGTGACCAGAAGACGAGGAAGAAGACGTAAGATGATGCTGGATGACCTTGGGGACAGAAGAGGATATTTTCATCTGAAGGAGAAAGCTCTAGATCGCATCAAGTGGAGGAACTGTTTTGGAAGAGACTGTGGACCTCTCGTCTTGACAGATTGCTGATGAATGAATGAGTTCTTGTTCATTTGGTTGTTATTTTACTTTTACGTTCATGTCCTTTAATTGTATTAATTTAAAGTGTAGTGTTTTTATATATATAGATTGCAATTATTATTTTGTATTTTTATTGAAATAACTGGCTGACTGTAGGTTTTCTCAGAGTAATTAAGTTTGTAATGATTTTTGATCGCATCATATTCCCTATAATAGGCATTGACTCATATTATTCTTTATAACAATACAATAACACAAATTTTGTTCTTTTCTTTTTTGCTACATTGTCTGAAATTCCCCCAGTTCTAAATGTAAATTTGTGATAATTACAAAAGCTTCTTCCACTACAACAGGAGTTGACAACCAGTCGTACTAAATTTTCATTTCACTGAAAAAATTTGTAGAATTGCAGTGTTTATCCGTATCGCCTTCTGTTTATAACACACATGCCTGCAATGTTTACTGTTCACAATTTTCTGAATGTGAACCGACTTCAATAAACTTTAATTCCTCAGTACTGAACACTTAAGTTGAAAATTAGAGCTACTTAATTGCATCATTGTCAATGTAATTAAACGTTTTAGGAGGATCTGGAAGAGTTGGAGGGAGAGGTAGAAGAGGGCCAAGAAGATATACCTGTCACAACAACAACTGAGGCTCCCAAGAAGTCTCTAGTTCGCGGAGGAGTCAGACCCTTCAGAAGCAACGAAGATCTTCTGGCGGCCCTGAAGAGAAGGCGAGAGCAACAGGTTTGTGTGGGTGTGGCCATTTCCTTCACCATCTTATGAAATCTGTCTTTCACTAATGACAGGGCGCAAAGATCGTTAGTATTCCCAAGGCTGCTCTGAAGCCCAGCGTATATAGGAGGCCACAGAATGAAATATTTCTGATTCATTTACTACTCAAATTTTTTACAACAGGGAATGATACACCGTTCTTCAGTTCACTTTAGGACACTCCATTAGGAATTCCAAAGAAAAGAATGACATATTTGAAGAGAATGAAACGTATGAGCTTGTGGTTTATTTTAATGGAATTAATTCATCAATTTAAGGAAAGGTATAACATAAACCAAAGCATATATAGTAATACAAATAAGAATAAGCCCTACAAATACACGTTTTATAAACGAAGACAGTAAAGACTACGGATCTAAATAAATAATATGTTTTTGAAAGAAATTTTTTAAGGATTGCACTTGATGCATATGTACAATGAACATATATAACTTTTACCGTTAACGTAACAATACTTTATTATTTTTTATTTATTTATATAGCACGCACCTCATGTTTCAACCTCAAATGTGTCATCTGCGGTTGCTGCAAAATTCTCACATACTATTACCTAATTGAAAAGCTAATATTCCCATTTTTATAAATGGTTCGTATAAGTTAGTTTCTGTTCAATTAAAAAATTAGACAAAATTTAGACTAGACTTTGGTTAAAATTAACAATAAAATACAATGAAAAAAGAATAGCTTTTCTTCTTTATTATATTGTAACGTAAACACGTTACAATATAATAAAAAAGAAAACATGTCACAATATTTTATTCTTAATTTTAACCAAAGTCTAGTCTAAATTTTGTCTAGTTTATGACCTGAATAGAAAATAACTTGTACGAACCGTGTATAAAAATGGAAATATTATCATTGCAGTTCGGTAATAGTATATGAGAAATGTGCAGCACCTTAAGATGCCCAATTTGTTGTCGAAACATGTAGTTCATGCTATATAAATAAATAAATAAATAAATAAATAAATAAATTATTATCATTGCGTTGGCGGTAAAAATTATATATGTTCTTTGAAAGGAATGTAGAATTCAAATATTTGGTGGTACAAAACAAATATGTTCCTTGAAGAGAATTAAAAAGAACGATTATAGGGATTACAATGAAACTCACAAGTTGGGTACAATGTACCTAAATATGTACAGAGAAACATTTATTTGTGTTTCTTCATAGTATACAAATGTTTTTTTTTACATACCACATAACTCGCTCGTATTTTAATCCTTGATTTGATAAAGGCTAATAACTGGTATTATGTAAAAGTTAAATAGTTCCGTCCAGTGTGACTGGTAAAGATTCTTTTTTTCTTATTTCAATTATTCATGCTCTTATATGTGTCGGTCTTCAGAGAGCATCTTCAGAGGGACACCTTTACATAAATACAGTTAGAAGAGAATATTGCGGTACATGCTTTAAAAGTTAAAATATATATTGTGAAGAACAATAAAGGTTCTACGGAATTTGAGACCCACGTGAATTTATTTGTAGCGTGACACGCAAAGCACGCCACACTGTTGTCAGAAGTGGGATTTGAACTTACACACGTGACCGACAAGATTCGAACTCAAAGCACGCCACACTGGTGTCAGAAGTTTTACGAACTTGAACACGCCTCGACAAATAATTGAATTATTGTGCATCAAGTACTCTCCTGCAGCAAAATGGAGATGCAACAAATGATGGAACTTCTACTGAAGGAAATCAGAGAGAAACACGAAACGACGGAGGCTAATAGAAAAGCGGAGAAGAAAGAATTGCTGGCCCTAATGGAGGCAAACCAAATAAAAGCCGATGCCAGCCATAAAGAGATGATGGCCGATTGGAAAGCATGGCGAGAAATGGCCGCCATGTGAGACAACTGGGGGAGCGACAGCGACACAGAGATGACTGCCTGCCAAGAGGTTGAGGCACAGAAAGAAGAAGTCCCCGTAGAAGACGCCCCGAGAATACCGGCCGGAGAACCGAAGAAAAGGCGTAGGGACCAGAAACTGGCCGCGGAGCGCCGCCGCCAGAAAGCGAAGGATTCAACGCGGGTAATTCGTGAACCCCAGAAGGAATTGGCCGTCACAAACAGAAGGACAACACGCCGAGAGAAAGCGGCACGGAGAACGCCAATAGACAAGAGAATGTCCCGTCGCGCGACAGTGGCACGACACAAGAGAGACATCGTGAAGAAGAATCTTACTCGGGGAGCTGGCGGACTCCCGAGGAAACGACTGACCATGGCCGACAAGAAGATGACCCGCCACGCAAACGTGGCACAGCACAAGACACCCAGATCTCAGGGAGGACACTTTGAGTTACGCTCAAGCCTATATAAGGATGAGTCGAAATGGAGACGAAAGGAACTTGAACGAGGGAGGACGGCAGAAGAATCCGCCGTGAAGGGGAAGACCGGGAAGACCGGCGTAAATTTATTTGTAGCGTGACACACAAAGCACGCTACACTGACACCAGTGTGGCGTGCTTTGAGTTCGAATCTTGTCGGTCAAATCCCACTTCTGACACCAGTGTGGCGTGCTTTGCGTGTCACGCTACAAATAAATTCACGCGGGTCTCAAATTCCGTAGAACCTTTATTGTTCTTCACACCTGCACAATCACACGCTTTACAATCGTTTGCTCTTGCAGTGTTACAAATACTGCTTACAATATCTCGGCGGTACTGGACTCCCTTCTGCGGCGGATGTTCCAAGACTCACTTCTTAGACGGCTGGATAAAGACTGACTGCTTCTCGTCGACGCTGGGCTATTTATCCCCTCGGCCGCTGCTATGCAAATGAACCCTCTGTTATAGCAGTGGAAACGTTGCTTTGTTGGTTCCGCGATTCCTACGCAATGACCCATTGTTATTGCGTTGTCTCTGTGGGAACGCTTCGCGTATTCGTCGTAACCGTGGAGATTCGATGTTCTCTACACAACGGCTCATTGTTGGGATTACAGTGCCGCTATTGTTACTTCCTATGCAACGGTCTGTTCTAGCGTTTCCATAGAAGTGACTCTTCTGGATTGCAAACACGTTACATTGCTCCCTTCTAAAGGTTGTTCGTCCCCGAACAGCCTAAAGGTTCTCCCTCGGTTTCTATGCCGCGGTGTTTTGCTGGCAACGTCTTCATTCGGGTCTTGGTGTCCTTTGCGCGTCTTTTTGCACAGTTCATTTTACCGCATCCGCCCCTTTCTTCAGTGGTGCTCGCCCCGAGCACTCCGAAAGTCCAGAATTTGTCGGTCGCCTTGTTTCACATTCATTCATTCGCTCATTCAGTCTTCATTCGACCATGCGGGGAGGTCGGTACTTCTACGTTACCGGTTCCTCCCATAGTGGCCATTTCCTTTCTTCCGTTTCGGAGGGGGTCGGCCCCTCCATAGTGTCCAACTTTTGATGCCCGTATTTGTTATCGTTTCACTCTCAATCTTGGGTCGTTCTACGTCTTTCCCCTTCACGGCGGATTCTTCTGCCGTCCTCCCGCGTTCAAGTTCCTTTCGTCTCCATTTCGACTCATCCTTATGTGGGCTTGAGCGTAACTCAAACTGACCTCCCTGAGATCTGGGTGTCTTGTACTGTGCCACGTTTGCGCGGCGGGTCATCTTCTTGTCGGCCATGGTCAGTTGTTTCCTCGGGAGTCCGCCAGCTCCCCGAGTAAGATTCTTCTTCACGATATCTCTCTTGTGTCGTGCCACTGTCGCGCGACGGGACATCCTCTTGTCTATTGGCGTTCTCCGGGCCGCTTTCTCTCGGCGTGTTGTCCTTCTGTTTGTGACGGCCAATTCCTTCTGGGGTTCACGAATTACCCGCGTTGAATCCTTCGCTTTCTGGCGGCGGCGCTCCGCGGCCAGTTTCCGGTCCCTACGCCTTTTCTTCGGTTCTCCGACCGGTATTCTCGGGGCGTCTTCTACGGGGACTTCTTCTTTCTGTGCCTCCACCTCTTGGCAAGCAGTCATCTCTGTGTCGCTGTCGCTCCCCCAGTTGTCTCACATGGCGGCCATTTCTCGCCATGCTTTCCAATCGGCCANTGCCTCTGAAAATCTTAAGCAATTATATATATATATATATATATATTGTAGCGCGTTTTGTTTGTGTCACGCTGAAAATAAGTTTACGCCGCTGTTTGATATAGCGAATTTATTCCGTTCGCTCACCTTACACACCCCTTACAGTCATTTCCACTTGCAGTGTTACAATTACTGCTTGCAATATCTCGGCGGTACTGGACTGTCTTCTCCGGCGGTTTCTAGCACTCACTTCTTAGACGGCTGGATAAAAACTGGCTGCTTCTCGCCGAAGCTGGGCTATTTATCCCCTCGGCCGCTGCTATGCAAATGAACCCTCTGTTATAGCAGTGGAAACGTTGCTCTGTTGGTTCCGCGATTCCTACGCAACGACCCATTGTTATTGCGTTGTCTCTGTGGGAACGCTACGCGTATTCGTCGTAACCGTGGAGATTCGATGTTCTCTACACAACGGCTCATTGTTGGGATTACAGTGCCGCTATTGTTACTTCCTATGCAACTCTCTGTTCTAGCGTTTCCATAGAAGTGACTCTTCTGGATTGCAAACACGTTACATTATATACATACAATATAAATAATATACAATTGGGTGTAAAATCTAAAGTCTTTACAGCTACAGCAGCTGTTCCAATGCTTTAAAATATTTATAGTTAGTTTGATAAGATTGTATTGGAATCTCTATGGAACTATTTAACTTTTTCATAATGTTATTAATTTGACGGACCAGAATGAAACAAATCAAATTCTAATAACTGGATTTAATTTTCCGAAAACCACAAATACACCACACCAACTTCGAATGCTTTCAATACATTATTCGTCATATATTTAGTGCTAATGTCTGCAGCATGCGAGACATATCGCACTCCTCTCATCTCGCCCATTTTGTGAATAACACAATTCACTTACTCCCTTAACATTCTTTCGTGTTTTGTTCTTCTCTTCCTTTTGATTCAATTACAAATACAGTTTTAAACCAACATAAGGTAAAGCTATCCCTGTAACAGGCCGTGAAGGCCCATAGGGTTGTGAGACGTTGAGGGTCCCACATTATCTAGACAATCGGCTCACAGATGGCGGTAAGTTTGCCAGCCTTACGCGCCGGCCGTACGTTAGCCCCCCAGGAAGATTCCTGGTTCTCATTTCTGTTAGAGGCTGAGTCGACCCAGGGCCCATAATGTGACGGGAAGGATTAGGTCAATTGAAAAATTCGTCACATCGGGACTCTAACCCGCGAACTTCCGGCTTGTAGCATAGTGCTCCTACCAACTACGATACCGCGTGCCTCCAGTTTTAAAAAAATAAACCAAAAATCTAAAGTAACGTTTAAAAAGCGAAGTGTTTATCCGAAATTAAGTAGGTGAACTGCTTGAACTATAGACCATGAAACTCAAAATCCCTCTCTTGCAGCTGAACGGTGGGTCACCCAAAGTGGTGCAAGTATATCCCACCCCATCGTCAGTCCAGCCCTCAGAAGACAACAAAACGACTCGAAGCACTAGTAACAGTCAGCAGAATTCTGCCAGCAATGGTAGGAGGCGGTTCAACAGCAAAGCTTCAGCAGCTGCTGGCTCATCTGCTGAGCCGGTCGTCGCAGAACAGTCTGATTCAGGCCGGCGAACATCTGGCAGGAGGTACCCTGGGAGAAGCAAACCCACCAGTCTTCCAGTCAGTGAAACTTCCGATCTTGAAGAAGAGGCGACACCTAAACCAAAGTCATCATCATTCAGAAGACGGCTTTAATGTACATAAAATAAATGTAATTTCTTTGTATTTCCAGACGAAAATTCCTTTTGACTGAGATACAATACCTTCCTACTGCAGCTTAATGTGTTCTGCCTTCTACGAGCAGGTTTAATAGCGAGACGGTTATTAAAAAGCCTTTTTAAAAATAACTTGCTCCCTAATATTCCGGGTGCTTGTTCTGAACTGCAGAGGTATCGTACCCACTTTGTACCCATCGAAGCAGATACATGGGAATATAAACTGTCTATCAAAGATTAATCAGTAGAAAAAATTGAAGCATATGGGACTAAGTATACATTTTCCATTCTCTGGTAACCAGCGAGAAAATCTTCAAGAGATCACTAAATTCTATAGTTATGTTCCGGAAAATATTTTCCTCCTTTTTAACAACGCGCATAATTATTGTCTCTAGCTATGTCGTCGTAATATGTGGCCCATCAAGTACATCCAGCATTTCATGCAATGTTACAGCTAAGAGTAGTAAATCATGTTGCTACATTCGAAAGAAATACAACCGTTTCTACAGGGAAATTGCAAGATCAGAAACATAATTCTGTTCGTTTCTGGAAATCATCTACAAGGCATAGCTTTTAGAGACTGTTTTGTCTTTGCATAACCGTGTTTTGGATTGTTATGGTTCATGCAATTCTCATTTAACAAGTACTGCCAAATTTATCATGAACAAATTCATATCAAAGAAAGTAACTGCCCATATTCAGTTCTGTACCTACAGCGCAAGCGCAGGGTAGGCCTAATTCTTGCGAATGAGATCCGATGTTTCATCAAACCCACACACAAATTGTAAAAATTCTCTAAAAAGATTATTGGAAGTCCGCCTAAATTTGGTGTCTTTTGTAAACAGAGAAAACGATATAATATACTAGGGTAACATTGCTTCACGCGTTCCAGTTACTGGCAAATTGCAAAACGAAAAAGAAAACAGAGGAATATACAATAGCACATTTATTAATAGTTACCCGTTAATCTGGAATTTGTTCGAATGCAAACTGCATGAGAGAAGAAATAGGCTGGCCGAATAGACAGATATGTTGTGAAACGAATACTGCATATTTATCTGTTTAATACCCAATTAAATACTACAGATAATTGCTTGTGTTTACATAGATCATAGCACCCTTGTTATGTTCGTCTTATCAAGTGAAGGCATTCGCAATATCCATTACATATAAAAAAAATTTAATTTTTCAGTGAAATTTTGACACTTCTCGACGTATACAATTATTAAAAGACATACAATTCATCATTACAACATATTACAGTTATACTGTTGTATACGTATGTATCCTGCAGGCTTAAAATTGTAAAGGCCTGTCCACATTACTCGTGCTCGTGCGTCAGAAGCTCACTGCTGCCGGAAAATCAGGATCTGGAGCTGATATCTGTTGTGAAGAAATGCGAAGACTTTCTATGCAAACCAGTTTGGGCGTCCACTTCGTCAGCTCCAGATCCTGATTTTCCAGCAGCAGTGAGCTTCTGACGCACGAGCACGAGTAATGTGGACGGGCCTAAGAGACTGAATTCACTCGCTGTTGAAGAACAAAAGTGCAATTCATATAGTCTGTCTGTATCGCATGTTTTTCACAGTATGTTTTATACGTATGTATATAAAACATTCTTGCTGTAAATTGCTGTTCACTTCATTCTCAAAGTTCTCGCCATCCGAGAGAGACTGGAGTCACACTCTGAATGAAACAATCCACGTGATTTGTAAGATTTGAGGTTTTCACAGGAGTGACTATGAAGAATGCTGTCTTTTGGGATGAGACACCGTACAGGTATCATGTGGACCGATGTTTCAGAGGGATGTATCGCCTCCATTTTTAGGGTAGAAAAAATCCGCGAGCAAGGAAGCAGCGTGAGCAGGTGGCTGGAGACTGAGCCACCAGTCTAAAACACTCGGCTATATAAGAACAGGAAGGGAGGGAGAGTGAGCAACGTGGGAAATCAATAGAGAGGAGAAGAGAATAGTCTGTAGAGATGGGAGAACAGGTAGTAGGCCAGAGCCGGTAGAGGATCATGGGGCGGAAGGGCAGGGCTACCGAAGAAGCTTGACCAAATAGCCTTGGTCCATGATATATATACAGTGTCCGTCTTGCAGTGCATTCAATTTTACCTGTCACTTCACATATTTCGGCACCATAGTGTCATCATCAGGTGCTCCATTTACACTAATCTATTGCATTGCATGCCATTATGTCAATGTAAAATTATTTAAAAAGCATTTTAAAATATTCGTCAGTTATAATAAATGTTTTGTATACTAAAATCTTGTTAAGATAGTCATCTTATCTGTCCCAATTCAAAACCTGCGCATGGTTCCTCCANTGTGAAGTGACAGGTAAAAGTGGATGCACTGCAAGTCCGACACTGTATATATATCATGGACGAAAATCAGTGCAACAGGACGCTAAAATACAACATTACATAGAGCCTTGAGGCTAAGCTGTCGAGTGTGCATTGACCTGCGTAACCTTATAGATCTGGCGTCATGTTCCGGAAGCTTCCATGATTTGCTGAGACGAAGCCCCATCCCTCTGTTCGTATTGTTGGGGTGGCCTGCCTGCCGATGCGATACGTGTATTGGGTCTCAGTGGTAAGGATGGAGGCGTTGTGGAATTGAATGTGATGTCCCAAATCGACGCTGTGTTCAGCCACGACTGACTTGTCTGGATGTTCAAGACGGATGTGTCGCTGATGCTCCTTCAACCTCGTGTCCACGGAACGGCCTGTCTGCTCAATGTAGATCTTGCCGCACTCACAGGCGATTCTGTATACAGAACAGTCCCAGATAACCTGGGACTAGGACACCGGGTGTATGGAAGCCTCTTATCTGCTCCCTCAAAAAACCTCCTAAACATGATGCCAGGTACACAAGGTTACGCATATCAATGGACGCTCGGCATCTTAGCCCCAAAGCTATTTGATCATGCTCGCTCGGTAGTCCTGGCCTCTCTA